CACCAAGTACCCCAAGTCTATCAAGACGATCGATTTCCCAACTAATGCCTCAACCCCAGCCGAGGGACTTTTGGTTGAGTTTGTCGACAAGCTATCCTCCTTCTTGGGTGGTGCGAATGTTTCTGCTTTTGATTACGATGCTCTCTGGGAGTCCACCAAGCCTTCGACTGTTGCCGCCAATACGACCCTCAACAGCATGCTGTCTCTCACTTACCCTATCCTCATTTCGAAGCAGCAGTATCCCCTCATTGCCGCACCGCTGTATGCAGACTACGCGGCTGCCAATGGAGGCCGTAAGCCGTTTATCAACCCCGTGCCTCGCTCCCGTTGGGATTGGGGACTTGGATACCCGGAATCGCAACTGGACACTGAAATCGAACACAAGAACACCTTTACCAGCTGGTGGAATACAACTGCCCAGGTTTTCGACGAGGAGACTTGCTCGGACAGTTTGATTCTTTACATTGGAACTGAAGCCACACCGACCTACCGCAATACTTACCGGAGGTATGTCCTGGTCCTTTCCCATGTTATGGTATATTTGAGAGACTGTTTGCTAATCCATTGGAATCGTATAGCATGCCCGGTATCCCGCAAGGATTTGCTACATCTCGTATTGCTAACTTTGCCGGTGTGCCCGATATGGTCGTTCCGAGTAAGCTCAACCTTCCCTTATTATTTGAAAAAATACCTCAGATGGTTTAATTCGGCACTATAACTGACGCAATTATAATTTAGTTGGCCAAGCGCTCTACAACTCCACCATTACCGAGCAGCAGGAATACCTGCCCGTCGCAGTGGATTTCATCGCACCTCACGGCTGTGATCTGATGGTCTTCAACCTGATCAATGAGTTGGTGGAAGCTGGCATCGTGAAGCAGCCCGGCGCCGGATCCACTTTGTACGGGGAGGAGGTGACTTACTATTGAGCAAGGAAATGAGTAGATAACTTCCCATGTAGGGTATCATTGTATACATAAGTTATTAATATATAGATTCGGTTTTATAAATATCTTTTTTTTTTCTTTCCCCCATGTCAACATTTGATGCCCTCGAGCTACTAATTATCCCTACTATAACCAGTAGGAAGGTCTACGAGTGGGCTAGTCACAGACTACCAGTAAATCCGCACTACTTTCTTTTTATTAGCTTTATCCCTATAATATGAGATTGAAACTTTCATTAAAGTTGGCACAAAATGGTATTTGGGGTGATGATCCACTCGCGTGTTTTGATTCAAGTTATAGAGATATTGCAGGCAAATGTTTCAGGATTGTGGGGTTTCTTTATTCGTAACAGGCTTGGATGCCGCCTCTGCTACAACCTGTATTGGGCGGACTTGATCTAACATCCTATCTCTATCAAAATTAAAGCTGGTGGGTGTTGACCGCACAACCCTTGGTTGAAAAATACTAAATGATTTGATTTTACAAAAAGGGCATTGTCTTACTTCAAAGAAACTGATGAAACAAGAACATTTCTTGATCGACAAGTTTGTGGCTCAAATACCACGCCAGCTTTTCAAAGTGAGTTCAACCCAAATTCCCGCGTTAAACGAGTGTGAATTGAGTTTTCAATATATATCACGTCCAGTTCAGAAAATCCACAGACCCCCTGAATCCAGCGGCGCCTCCTATCTAAGCGGCATTGGCTTCCCAGTTGGAGACAGTGAGAGTGGCATCGCCAGTGAAGGGCTCGGTACCAAATTGCAAGTCTAAGATTATCACCATTAGTAAACCACATCTAAGGTAAGGAATAGATGGAGAAACATACTGATCAGGTATTGGGAGCCAGCAGGGTAGGAATGACTTTTGGCCAAGAGGTCGAAGAACTCCTTGATGTCGGTGGTGAAGGAGGTGACAGGACTCGCAGCAACGAAGCTGTAGACATTCATATCGCCGTTCATGCCGTTCCAGAGCTCCCAGGTGTGTTTGCCGACATCAACTGAGTTGAGCTTGCTACCGATAGGGCTGATGCTTCCATAGCGGGCGAGCCTAGGGGAGAGACCGACTGTTAGCCAAAAGGACGCTCTTATATAAATATTCAATTGGAGAGATCTTACCAGATCATCAGCTCGTAGTCACCACTGTAAGTGACGTGGTTCTTGTCAGCTGCAGTGAAGAGATCGTAGGCAACATCAGCGTTGATATTGTCATTGTCGTATTTCCATTCGGCGGAGGTTTTGATGCTCGTAAGCTCGCTAACAAGCTTGACATCAAGCTTCACGCCCGAGTTTGGGAAGGTCTTGACCGAGTTGTCGGCACCGGACCAGGACCACTTAGTATGCCAGGAAACACCGGTGTCGGAGATGCTGTCAACGGTGGTGCACTGCGAGCCGCTGCCCGAGTTCTTTCCCCACATGTTGTTGTTGACGGTATAGATACCTTTGTTGTAGGTACCATACTGTTCACAGAGCTCCTGAGCGGAGGCAGCAGCGGCAAGAGCGAGGATTAGAGTTATCTTCATTATGAAATTAAGATAGCTGAACCTTTAGGGCTAGTAATCCTGTAGTTGATAGTTTGATGAGTTAATGAGCTTGCGAGTGAGATTGAGAAGCGACTCGAGTGGCCTTTATATATTTTCGTAGGTGGATTTCTAGTGTTCACATTGCTGCTTGATTGAGCATGCCAAGTATGTAATATGCGAGATCAAATGAGGTGGTTTTTGTGACATATTGATGCTGCGCCCCGGCCATGTCGGAGAGCTTCAGTCTGAGATACAGAACCCGTGTTGAAAACTGCAGGACCCATGTCGATCTCAAGTAAATGGATCATTGAGTCGATTAAAGGGGGCTGTCGAGTCTGTGTTACCACACAAGTATAGTACAGAGGTTAAATATTCGCTTGGAAGTGCAACATATGACAGGTGAAACATCTGGTGTCAACGATATATATCCAAGAACGGTGAGTTTAGCCTCAATTACAAGTAGTCGTTTCAGTCCGGCTAAATTATAGTCATTTCATGTGAGTGTGGATTCGGGGTGGGCTTGGTATCGTCTCCACCTACACTATGGAGTAATTCTTCTGATTCTCTGGGGTGGATGAAATATGTTGGATCTATCCCTATCTAAGGATTCTATGGCCTGATATTGAGAATAAGTGTTACCTCTACTAATTCTAACAACTTCCAATTGTAAATGGAACGAAGAATACTTCGTATATGCTCTACAACATACGGAACAGATGTGTTACATGTCATGTTTGTCCCTTGATGGAACGTAGTGGGTCAGCTATCAAGAGGTGGAGGATGAATCTAAAATCCATATGGGGTCGCAGCTTGGGTAGGCTTGTAAAAAGGTCCGGGCCGGGAGACTTCCAAGGTTGCTCACCTGGGCAAGCATAAGCTTTATATAATTCCAACGCGGCACCGGAGCACCGGGACTCAATAGATATCTAGGTTCTAGAATCCCTAAATTCTTAATAACCTAGTTCTAAAAGGGTCTTAATAGAGAGTATAGCGTTGTAGAGGTGATTTAGAATCAGGAGTCTTCCTGATTGGCTATCTCAATTTTTACGACCTTCCAAATTTAGATGTCTCCCAGAGCTCTCTTTCCAAGGGAACCCGAGCCGGGACCCGAATCAATATATTATCTACAAAGGGCTAACGGCGATCTCTTCTCCATTATATATCCTTCAATTGAACGATCCTGTCTATCATTTCCTGTTTTGGGCGATTGTTTGAACTGATACTACTTCGGGTACGTGACAGGCGGAACACGGCAATGGCGCTAATTTACCCTAATTAGGGCGTCGTCTTTTAACCGTCGGACTAAGTATTTATTCAAGTACAGTGATATACCCGTAGCATATCAAGGTGGGTCGGTCTCATCGTACTTACTGCCTGGCCTTGCCCATATTATCTTAGATGGTCTTTTTATCAAGCTGACAAACTGAGATGGGGCTCGGTGCGCGAGTAACACGCCTTGAATTGACAAAATAAACACAGAATGAGAACAAGAAAGGTAGAGAAAGGATAGAGCTTATTTGGGAAGCTGAAAATATATAACCTACGAAAGAATACACGAGGATATGCTAGTTTTGCTCAACATTGAGTTGCCAGTTGGAAAGGTCTCTAAAGGAGGATAGATACATAGGCTTCAGTCCTTTCTCTATTTGGGCTAAACAAATTGATGGGATTTAACACTGACAGACTCGGCATGTTTGCTGGGTGGTTCCAAGGCTGTTACAAGAGCCGGGGTTGCAACGTCATTTGCACATGCTCAGTCTTATAATGGTTTTTTTCTTTTCTCGCACGGTCCATATTTCAGTTTGCAACGAATCCAAACACAAATTCAAGATCTGCTTAAGAAAAGGCTCGCGGTTTTCGTTGAGGACCTGATCCCTAGCTAATTCTATGAAAATTCTTGAATCCGTTGGAAATACCTTTGAGCCATGTCAACATCTAGGATATCTCCACAGAAGTTGTGACAGTAGGAAATGAGCCACCTACACGTAATAAACCTATAGATAAAATCCATAGACAACCTGTGGGATCGTTCCGTTGGTGCCTGATTGCGCAGGCTTGCGTGCATACTGAGCAGTTTGTCAGATTTGGGCCATAAATACTGCTTTCCATAAATTGATTGAATGAACAATAATTCCTCATATTTCTCGCCGATCTATATAGCAGACATCTGAAAGTTATATAACAGCAGGACCCATTACAGCATATGCCTGACTTTGATTGGCCTTCGTATCATTGTACACTGAACTAAATAGGTCGAGACTGGCCCCTGCCATAATGTAGATTTTACCAATGCGCGGGTTGGCGGGCCCATCTGAGCTAAGTTTATTCACTATATTTGATAATAATCCAACTTTGTTCCAAGGTTTACCTTGCATGTCTCGGCGCTCTTCGACTGTTAAAGGAAAGTGCTCTCCAAGGATGGTGACTACCAGACCTGCTTTCAAGTTTTTCCTACATCTTCAAGTTTCACAACCATCTCTTCGCAATTATCCTGAGATTTTGACAATTCTCTTGATCTAATTTCACCTTTCACAATGGGCGCCTCCGGAGGAGACGTTGATTTTCAACTTTACCGCTACACTCCTTCGCCGCCGCGGTGGTTTTCACCGTCATGTTCTTTCTCACCACTCTGTACCATATCCAGCAGCTTTCGAAAAGCCGCTGCTGGTACTTCATTGCATTCGTTATAGGAGGGATCTGTAAGTGATTGAATCTCAGCATCATGCCTCAGCTTTTGCTCTTCGGCAACAGGCCTCAAGCATACCATGCTAACCCTAGAGACCTTACAGTTCAGATAATTGGGTACATAGCACGGGCAGTGGCACACACAAACACCAAGAGCGTGCTCATTTATGCGATCCAAGTAATTTTCATTTTACTCGCGCCCCCACTATACGCTGCATCGATCTACATGGTTCTCGGGAGATTGATTCTGCATCTCCGAGGTGAAAGTTACAGTGTGGTACCATTGAAATGGATGACAAGCATCTTCGTGACGGGTGATGTGATTGCATTTTTAATGCAGGCAGCCGGCATGTTTCACAGGTTCCGAGTGGCTTAGTGCACATTGCTTCAAGATATAACCTGATACTAACGATCGTTCACAGGGGGAGGAATCATGGCGAGCGGTACAGTCAGCTCAATGACGACCGGCGAGCACATCACAATCGTGGGCCTCTATGTTCAACTTGTGTTTTTCACATTTTTCTTCCTCGCGTCGCTTTTATTCCATATCCGAATCCGCTCGAAACTGACTCAGCAAACCATTCAAGCGACACAAGAGCGTGGCTTGCACACCACCCGGAGCTGGGAGTCCGTCATTTGGGGGCTTTACATTGCCAGTGTGTTAATTCTGATCCGATCTGTTTTCCGTATTATCGAATATGCTCAAGGGAATGGCGGATATCTGATCAGCCATGAGGCTTTCATGTATGGGTTCGATTCGACACTGATGCTATTTGCAATGGTGGCGATGAATGTGCTTCACCCGTCTGTGATATTGTCCTCGACCCAAATGGGAGATCAGAATCCGTTGGAACTTTGAGATCTCTGCCGCGGACGCAGTGAAACCTTGAGTGCGATTCGATGGGTTCAGGGGATAAGTGAGCAGGAGAGAAGGAGGGTTGAGGGAATTGTGTTGGTTTTATGCCACTGAAATAGCCTTGGTACATCATTTTACGGCAGGCACTTGTTGTATCTAGATTTAAATTCTTTGTTTCAACCAGGCCACGAGCGGTCTCGTGAATCGTAACATCGCATGGCACTTCAGTATGCCAGCGGCTTAATTCAAATCAACCAGTGTGCAGACTTTACTTGGCCAAAGAGCCCACTCCTTTAATCTGGAAGGCAAAGATTCCGTAATTTTGTTGAGTGAGTGGTTTATGCCAGCCATGCAAAACCCAGTAATCCTCGTGGAGTAAGGAGTTTAAGGAACTTTGATAGATATTAAACTCCGCTTTTTTTTTTTAGAAATCTTGGGATCAGCCCAAACAGCATAATTAGGCATCGTCTGAGTATATACCGTAAACAAATTCGCCAAGTAAGTACGTGGTAGATTTGATGTGAGTTAGCCATGGCTAGTTAAGACTTATACATAGAACAGTCCCAAAAGAGCACGTGGAACGGCCACCAAAAAGACATAATAAGTGCGAAGGTATATCCCGGCCAGGGCCTGAAGATGCCTGAAGATGGGTGAATACTTGCCGGCAGAAAATATGAATACCTGAATTACCATAACAGAGGCCTTGTAAGAATTTCTTGAAGGACAATATTAATGCCTTAGAAAATAGGCACTCAGTCGCCAGATGACGAGAAGGATAGGTGACGAGAAGGATATATAGTGACATATACGTCTGTAAGAGCGGAGCCAAAAGGGGGTATATAATCAGGCATCTTAAGGCACCAATATTAGTAATAATTAGTTTCTGACCCCTGACCGGGATACACCTTCGCAGGGGAACAAAGGACGGGTGTACTACTGAGTTGTGGAAAGCCGGATAAAAATTTCACCTAGTATTCCACTGTGCCCTGAAGTTTCCTACTGCTGTAACGAAATGATTGCCGAGTATATGGATGCCACTGACTTGCATGTGCACCCGGTCCGAGTCCACACCGACTTGCATGTACACCCGGTCCGAGTCCACCGGCACTGCCAAAGAAGCCGGCGGGTAGAAACAGAAGAACATATATCTGTAATATAAATTATAGATACCATCTGACAATATATGCTCTTCGATCGCATATAAGGTAACCCACATTCCAAAAACCGTATGCGTCTCGTAAGTCTTAAACTTGCACGGCTTTCAGTTCGCCAAGCAAGAATAAGAACATTCAGCATGTCTCATACCGTGCCACAAGTGAGTCAAAGACTCGATTTCCTATTATTCTGAATTAACTTAGCATTTCAACGTTGACTTATAACTTCAGTTGAAAGACAAGTCTTTATTCATTGGAAAATGCCACATCAACGGCGAATGGGTTGGGGCTCAATCCGGCGAGACCTTCGAAGTCACTGGTAAGGCAAACCAGACACAGCTCATGTAATTAAGCTGCTAACAACGGATGATTAGATCCGGCCACCGATAAGGTTATCGGGACATGCCCAGAATTCAACGCAAAAGACACCGAGAGAGCCATCAAGGCAGCCTCAGATGCATTCCCGATCTTCCGGAAAACGTTGGTACGCGAAAGGTCTCGATTACTGAGACGTTGGAATGACCTCATCCTGCAAAATCTAGATGATTTGGCGACTTTAATAACTTGGGAGAATGGGAAACCTTTTGCAGAGGCCCAAGGCGAGGTCAAATATGCTGCAGCTTTCATTGAATGGTTCAGCGAGGAGGCTCCCCGTTTGTACGCTGATACAATTCCTACATCTGTTCCGGGCAACCGAGTTTTGACAGTCAAGGAACCTGTGGGTGTCTGCGGCTTAATCACTCCATGGAACTTCCCTGCCGCCATGATCACCCGTAAGATCGGCCCGGCATTGGCGGCTGGGTGTACAGTTGTTGCGAAAAGCCCCGGGGAGACTCCATTTACTGCCAATGCCCTTGCGGAATTAGCCCTTCGAGCGGGTATCCCTAAAGGTGTCGTAAACATAGTGACTGCGTTGGAAAATACTTCTGAAGTGGGCCGCACTCTCACCACTCATCCGGATATTAAGAAGGTCTCGTTTACGGGATCGACCCGCGTGGGAAAACTCCTAATGGAACAGGCCTCTTCTAGTGTGAAGCGAGTGTCGTGGGAACTTGGCGGCAATGCCCCGTTCATTGTCTTTGATGACGTGGAGGATATCGATATCGCAGTCGCTGGCGCTCTTGCATCGAAGTTCCGGGGTACAGGGCAAACCTGCGTATGCGCCAATCGAATCTACATCCACCGGTCCCACTATAAAGTCTTTGCGGAGCGACTTGTCGAACGTATCAAGAACTTCAACGTCGGACCTGGATTTGCCGAGGGTGTCACCCATGGGCCTCTCATCCATCGCGCAGCCGCACAAAAGGTTGCCGATCACGTTGCCGACGCTAAATCCAAAGGTGCTCGGGTCCTTTTGGGTGGGAACCCAATCAATGAGCTAGGTCCCAACTTCTTTCAGCCTACAGTGTTGGCTGACATGACCCACGATATGCGCATTGCCGATGAAGAAACGTTTGGGCCCATAGCAGCGCTATTCCCCTTTGATACTGAGGAAGAGGTAGTCCGACTAGCCAACCGCTGCGAGGTTGGCCTGGCAGCGTATATTTTCAGTGATAACATCAGGAGAGTCTTCCGCGTAGCGGACGCTCTCGAGGTTGGTATGGTGGGTGTCAATACTGGCTCTGTCAGTGATGTCGCTGCTCCGTAAGTATTCTCCACCCATATTCCAACTCTCTTTTCAATCAATCACTGGCTAATGCGACGATCGATCTTGCAGATTTGGTGGCGTGAAAGAGAGCGGATTTGGCCGCGAAGGGAGCAAGTATGGAATCGAAGAATTTGTGAATGTCAAGAGTATCACCTTAGGTGGAATATTCTAAGTGGAGTAGACCTAGCTTCTACCACAGAATGTGTGTGTGAATATTCGTGGGTCAAAAAATGGCTTAAGAGTCGGGTCAGGTGTGTATTCTAAATTTGCAGTCAATTATAACGGCAACCAACTTTCCGCAAAGAAGGATGTCAGATTCCAGATTCCTGTACTCCAACATAATTCTTTCTTGTGTAAGCTGTAGTACATATTTCGTTCATGGTGTCCCCCATGCAAGTAAACGCGTGGAGCTATTTGTGTTATGCTACATCGAAAAATGATATATGTTTCGATCACATTAATCAGATGATACACATCCACTTTGAATGCCCCCCGGGGTGTGCGGTGACTTCCTCGAAGGGAAAAGAGTTGCGATAGTTCTGTAGCCTGCGACTTGAATGATAGAATGGGATGTACCTCTTAAATTTAGAAACTCGCAGGAAGAAATCAACGCGCAATACCCTCTAGACTACGACCGGTGCTACCGGGATGTAAAAGGGTTCCGTCATCGTGTCACACCATTGGGTCGTGTTCTAGTTGAGAAAGATGGAAGGAAACGTCCACTTGAAGAGTGATGGTTCAAGTGATTAGTTTGCCATTCAATATTGTCTAGCTGCCTTGTTCTTTTTACTTTTATTATTGTTGCCAACATCTCCAATTTCCTGTTGCTCAATTTCCTTATGCAAATCATGAACCGTCCATAAATGGCCATTTCTGTCCGCCTTTCTTTGTGATTTCTAGAAATTATCTGTTGGCTGCATGCCTTTGACATATCGAACGATGGATGTGTCGACAACAATACTAAGTATTATAAGTGTAGGTATTACTATCCAGAGAGGATACAAGGAGGTCATTGTGAATATCATCCAGCATAGATGCAGCGACAGCAAGCTCTAGTGGAAGGGCACGGATTATTTACCCTGATGATGCAATATGCTATACCATACATCATTGCAGTATACTCAGACTTCTATCAATATACAATAAAGTCATATGAAATATTGCTTCGGTGTTTATATCCAGTTGAGTGTATTAGCTATCCCCCATCCGTCAATAGTCTCCAGGCTGCAGCTCAGATCTGAAGAGATACGCTGTGATTTAGCAGCCCCCTCCAGAGCTGCCTCCTGAATCTCCGCTGCTGCTACTTCCACCACCTGAATCGCCGCTACTACCACCTGAGTAACCTCCACCTGAATCACTTCCACTACCTGAATAACCTCCACCGCCTGAATGACCCCAACCGCCTGAAGAACAGCTGCTATCACCGCCACCACCGGAATGATGATGGGTGCTATGTCCAGCTCCGGAGTAGTAATTGCTACTGCCAGCATCGACATAGTTGCCACCACCCCAGGTACTCGACGGGGTGGATGTGGAAGGAGGGCTATGGTACGGAACGTAAGTTGGTCTAGACGCAGCGACAGCCGCTTGCTGGCGCTTTCGGTCTTTCTGCTGTTGTTTCACAACTCGGTCCTCTTCTTCCTTTCTTCTCCTGGCTTCTTTCGACCGAAAGAGATTGAGAAACATCTTTCAATGTTGGGATTGAGCGAACCGGCTTGACTGACAATACGTTAGTGGGATTCTACAATATTCGCAGAGGTCAATCTTTACCGTGAGGTATAGTGGAAATAGCTCGAGAAAGTATAGCACCTGAAGATGTTTGTTGGAGATGTTGCTGTGCTAGATTATGATAGTGAACACCGCGAAAAAAGGACGTACGGGACAGGGACTTAAATATCTCTTGCGACTAGGGCCTGAAGAAGGATGCGAATTGTATGGCCCGATTAGGACAACCTCGGGCAACCGGGGAAAAACACAGCCTCCGATGTATTCTCAGTCTCCACCCGGGCACTTTATCGCTTATGCAGCAATACGATTGGTTCTCCGTCGATCGGACACTCCATTTTTCAGAACTATGCCGATCTTATGTTATTTTATCATAGCGTCTGACTCTGCCTTGCGTTATCGCATTGCTTATGATCACTTCTGGGTGAATGTCGCATAGCCCGCCCCAAGCTATGACGTCCATGAGCCGCAGTCTCGAAAGTTCTTTGATATATTTCAAAGCAAGGCATCTAATATTCACCTGTGACGGCAATCTCTCCTAGAATATACTGCTTTGATAGCCGGCCGGGCAAAGCCCTATATTGTAACCTGAGAAGTATGTATAGTATTCATGGAATACAGGGATGGGGTGGGTGTGGACCAAGGTTTCAAAAGAATACAATTTTGGCACGTACCTTAGCCGTTGTGAAGATGGAACGGGGAATTAGACAGCTTGGAGATGCATTCTTGAATTTGTCGGTAATACTAAACCGACACTTTCAGGAATCCGTGACGGAGATCGATGACCACATTGAGTAAATTCAACCGAGGCATATAGGCTCCAACGTCCATTAGGTCGTTCAGCTTCCAGGACGCTAGCAAAAACACGTGGGCACCGGATCCGGCCGCTGCAGCTGTTGATATCATCCGATGTAGTTCAAAAATATCCCCATTTGGTCATGATCAGCAAAATCGGATCGAAAACGGGAATTCAGGGGTTGGAATAGGGCAATACCTTTCCTAGAAGGCAACGACAAGTGTCCTTAACAAATGAACTAGTTATCGGAGCCTGGCGAGCTCCGAATTCCCTCCAATCGTGCAGGGCAGTAGGGTCGTAAGCCATCCCACCGTCCTGGAGGGGTCGATGCCATGATGTTCTGTGACTAGGAGTCCCGCGTCACTTTTTTTTAGCCAAGTAACTGAGCCGTAGTGGCCTCATCCATCGTGAATTTCTGAGACTCGCCCTCTCCAAATGTACTCTGTCCAGGTAGGAGTTCCTAATACCAGTAATAGGCAGGACGCACTTCGAACGGTAGCATCCCGGGTGGCGCCTTATATGTTTGAGTCCCGGTCGCTTAAAACTAGACCAATCTCGCAAATGAAACTTGCTCCTGTATAGGTAATCTTCGGTCTTGAGAAAGCTCTTCTGTCGGCAAGAATGATGCGCCATGGTACTAAATCAATCACCACATGATAACCGATCGAGAGCGCGTCAACATCTTCAAGAATGGGAATGAGATCGAAGGAGAATATAGGGCCACTTTGCAGGTTCAAGCCTGGGAAAACGTCTTCCGTCTTGATTCGTACCATGAAAATCCGATCGATCCTTCGATATCGCAGTCACCATTTATCCATAATCCACTGCTTCTTCCGACAATGAGCCGTGCCCGCAGCATTACATGGTGCAGGGAAATTTCATGCACCACTTGATGCTACTCCTTGATTGACTGTCTTCTCGACTCGAACCAAAAAGGGTTGGTTGAATGGTTTCTTTTTTAGTAAGAACGACAGAAGAGAAGAGCATGGATTAGATAGAACTTAGTCTGAATAGAACCATATCGTCGATGACATCTGAGCTGTCTGCGCGAATATCCTCTAGATGAGAATAAAAAAACCTCTCAAAAGGGCGGGATTATATTATAAATAAGAAAATCCGTCGTGGTCGAGGTTGAGTCCAACCTCCATGCGAGTCGAGCTACCACCTTCAGTGAAAAGGCTGTCGTTAGTGTCGATGGCATTCTGTGGCAAAGCAAACACCTGCGGAAATGTCTGCTCCAACCGAATCTCCCGCTCAGTCAAGGACCAACGTTAACCTTGGAAGTGTTGCTGACCGTCGGGTTGCCAGCGGGTCGTCGCTAGGATGTTTGTTCCTTCGCTCTTATTAATGTATTTGATCACCCTCGCAGAATAGTATATTGACAGCAACTAACTCACTGCTCCCAAGCGCCTTCCTCCTTTTGGTCTTCTCTTGTCGACAAAGGGTGGCAATGGTAGGGAAAAAGAATGTGAAACTGACGTCTCCCTCATCTGGCAGTTGCAACCCGACTGCTACTACATCCACACACCGTTGGCGAGCAATATCTCTACCCAGTTTCACATGATCTTCCTCGGGTGTAGCGTGGGGGCCGGTGCAATGTATTGCAACTAATAGCGGTCACCGAGTATATTGCGACTCTAATCGCACTTGGTACATTTGGTTTGGTGTATGCTAATTTTGGTAATATGAATTTGCGTTACTTGGAATTTATCTACAGTGCAGTAAGTTGCGAGGCTTGACTCCTAAATAATTTGGGCGCTGACCAGAATACACTTAGTATCGTAGTTTTGGCTATTTTAGTGCTACCATTTTGTAAATCGCCTGGTCAAAACACCAGTAGCGCAGACAAAACATGCGACAATGAGTAGTAATTATAGAGAAGCAATCAATCAGGCGTCTCATTTTCAAAATGACGGTCATGCCTACGGCCGAGATTTGCTGATATATATCTTCCAACTAGCCAATAATGTCACCGTGACAAGTCCTGCGACATGCTGATATATAATAAATAGATAAAAATTGTCTTGATGGTAATTACCTTAGATATTTTTATCCTCCCTGTATCAGTTAGAACTAGTTGAACCGTTCTGTTTTTCCCTTCTCTCTTCTTGATGTTGATAGGAACAGAGCTGACAAGCGGAGGACCAAGTGGATCCCGGTCCCAATCTCATTTTCTACGGGAAGGTCTACGCGTTATAACCTCAATACAAGTATATGACTAGACTGACTAGGGGGAAAGAGAGGAATGGAAAAGAGGCGGAGCTAACCCACAAACAAGGTCCTGTGATTCCACATTCTAACAAAATCCCAGTTGCAACGAGGCAAGAACTCTCTATAATGGTCATGTTAAGGCTTGGCATTAGGCGGGAGCGAGACATGTGGAGAGATAAATTACAAGCCTGATGTCTTGGTGGTGTCTCCAGGACTTGGCAGGCGTTCTTGCGGCCAGATGTTTCAATCAGGGCTTTGGGGGGACGTGATTCATGGGGAAAAATATTAGTAAAATAGACTAATTAAATAGCTAAGCTCAATTTGGATAATGTATGCAGATCTAGCTCAGTCGTAGTGCTGACATGTGCTGACAGGCAGCTTATAGTCTATTTGTAAAGACACCAAATAACGCTAAATAACACTGAAACGACCCTGCAGGCTTAGCAGTTTTTTTACGGTCCGCCGAGCCGACGGGTTGGACCGAAGTTTTTAATCCAATTTCCAGTTAGTTTCGAGTTCTCAACGGTGAATCTGCTAGGCCCTGAAAAGACCTTGGCTTTCGGGCTGCTTGGAAGCATTTTGTAGTGATTTATCGTGTAAACCTGATCCCTGTAATACAACATAAATGCATCTGATTGCGCTAACCTGCAATTTGACGTGTCATTTAACCGTTCAACAATCTTCAACCTAGAAGGTTCGCCCCACAATCTGCAATCTTGATAACATTCGAATCTATGCTTTTAATCTAAACAATTCAAGCAGTTTTCGAATAGTGTAAAATGAGACCAGCTTGAATATACCGAGACTGAAAAATACCCAGACTGGATAAATATTTAAATCTCAGTGCTAGAACCCTAGTATCCACGCGTAGCCTCCTGGGGTCTCTGCTTAGGGCACTCTTTCCCATTCACATCGATTCAATAAATGGATTTTGAAGCTGTAACTGCGAGCCTCAATTAAACGGCTATAGTTAGAAAAGGAAAAAGAAAAAGTGATTGTACTGAGTTACACCGCATTTTAATTTCAAACGAATCCGGAAGCTTGTAAGCAACGGCTGAACTTCATCTATACCATCCCACTAGATCAAAACCACTACACGCTAACATGCATGATCGGGACAAATGGGGCGAAAAATGAAGTCTCTAATGCTCTGTCACAATCTCATAATCTCACAAATCTGCAATGTGACCATTCCCTCGGGATCCTTGTATAGTAGGCTAACCGTTTCTGTACGCCAAGAGATTCATGGATACCTCAAGCACTGACAGCAGACAAAATCCATCACGGACAGCACGGGAAAAGAGGCAATAAACAACGCAGTAAGCAGGGCGAGACCTTCACAAGCACTTTGTCATGATTATGAGACCCACAAGAAGATTCACGACCTGCAGTCCAGTTGCGCCAACTACCCTCGACCTCGAGGTATAAAAGGAAGCTCATCCCCAGGTCTAGAGGATCATCCAGAACACCTCAGACAATCACAGTTCCTCTTCTTCTCCATCTACCAAAAAGCCTATCTTCAAGATGTACTTCTCCGCCGGAATCAAAGCAGCCCTGCTTCTCGCAGCTTCCATTCCCGCGCAAGCATGGAACAGACTGGACAAGAACAACGCTGTGAGTCCCCTTCCCCCAAAACAACAAATACAATCCAACGAAAAGGAAGAATACAATCTAACACTGACAACCACAGGCCCTCCTCGTCATCGACCACCAAGTCGGTCTTGCCCAACTCGTGCGTGATTACAACACAAACGACTTCCGCAACAACATCCTCGGTCATGCTGCCCTCGGCAATGTCTTCAACTTGCCAACCGTCCTGACCAGCTCCTCGGACGCAGGTCCCAACGGTCTATTGCTCAAGGAGATCACTGATATGCACCCCAACGCGACCTTCGTCCGTCGTCAGGGTGAGGTCAATGCTTGGGATAATGCGGAATTCCGCGCTGCAGTTAAG